TTTGTGTGTATGTGTGTTTGTCTGTGTGTGTTGCTAGATTACCTGCTTCGACCAAGATCAAGATCTGAGAGAGGCCTATGCCAGTTTGCATCGCCACCGCTGGTGATCTCACCCCTACCCAACCCTAGCTAGGTCTTCTTCGCAATTGTCTGAGTTTCTATTTTTGGAATTAAAATTTATGCTTTTTGTCAGTTAAAAAGTCGGTGATTCAAGAAGAGCTTTAGGCCTATGCCCATGGCTGTTGGGGATTATTACCTGCCTTCTATCGCCATCCAACTGATACTTACCAAAATTTTGGATCTTTAGTGAAACTTTTAATTACCTTCATCACAAACGACTCATTTATGCTCGAAAATATAGCCATTGCTTTGCAGGTTTGCATTGAATAACTTACCTCAATGATTGTATTACTTTTCTTTGTTTTTCTTCTTCTTAATTTTTTTTCTTTTCTTTTTGGGCTAATGTCTCTTCTTTTGCTTAATTCTGTAATATTTGATCTTATATATCTCATTTCTTTCTTCATAGGAACTTGTGAATCAAAACAAAACTGTAGTAAGATCTAATGTGGGTACTGGTGCGTTTGCAACACTTCCAAAGACCTCTGAAATAAATGGTTCTTCTGTAGTGTTCGAAAGTAAACCCCCTTATTCAAAGAAAATTGCAAGCAAAAACATCAGGGCTTTGGCATCATGCTCTAAGGAGTTGGTTTAGGCTTTAGTAGATGTCTTTTTTGGTTCACCTCCAGAGAACCATGCATATTGGAAGGTTTCATTTACTATCTTATTATATGCTTTGAAATGGTTAATACATAAAGTTCTTGCTTGCCTTTTTTATAATTGAGTGCTAAGTTTTTCTAATTATTGAGTTCTCATATCATTTAGGGGTCTGTTTTTTTGTTTCTGAATATGCGCTGATCTCTATGTCCTCTGTGTATTATATAGCTTTCTTCACTAACATATGTTTCTTCCTTATGCTTTTCATATACACCGCCTTTGTTCATCATTGGTCTTTTTTTTTTTTTAACAGCATAAGATAATGCAAGCCTCATTATTTTCGAAAGTTGTTCTGTCAAAATTATTTAGTTAATTATCTTTGTAATTGCATAGTAATTAAATTTTTAAGTGTTTTTTTGTAATTAACATATTAACACATAATTATATTGTCATTAATTAATTAATTAATTAATTTATTTATTTATTTTTAGATATTTCCCGAGTAGGAGTTTGCTTCTTGTGGAATGCATGCCTGTGAAGAATGCGACTAACTTTTGTTTTTGTTAGCAATGGAGAATGATGAGGAATTTTTTTTTTTCGTTTATGTTATTTTGAATTGTGAACAACATTATGTATTTAAACATTATATATGTATTATGCAACATTATGTAGTGGGGTAATTTTACTGATGTCTAGTTATAAATACAAGAATATTTTTATTATGGAGAAATTGTTATTTCTGTACAAAAATTTTTATATTATTATGCAATCATTGGTTTCTTTTTCAATTTTTTTTAATTTTAATACAAGTAGTTTGAATATTTTTAATAATGTTATTTTTTATTTTATTTTATTTTTCTTTTGCGACGGCACCATATCTTCGCAAAAAACATTAGAGCTAATTTTTTTTTTTTTGCGACAGAGGCAATGCCGTCGCAAAAGAATTTTAGTAACAGAGATCATGCCGTCGCAAAAAAAAACATATTGCGGCAGCATTTTTTTTGCCGCCTCAAATAAAAATTTTAGTGACGGTACGACATTACCGTCGCAAAAGGTCTCAATTTTTACATATTATAGGCGATAGTAAAAACGCCGTCGCAAAAGTCAACATTTCCCGTCACAAAAAAAAGGTGTTGTCGCTAAAATGTTTTAGCAACACCCTCTGTTGTGACCCCCTCTTTGCCGTCGCTAAAAGTTTTTTGAGACGGCATTAACCGTCGCAAAAAACTGAAATTTTTGTAGTGTAAGATGTTTTTGGAATATTATTTATAATGATGCACCTAAATTTGTCTAATATTCATGATTAGCATATGATTGTGTGTATTTGAGATATACTCTATGGAGATAAGTTCAAAATGACTTTAAAAGGAGATTCCTCAATAGCAAAAAATTAAGCAAAAATTACTAAAACAAATGGAAAGCTACGTAAAGGTGAAACAAAGAACTTTATATAGCCACTTCTTCATTAACAAGTAGAGATACAAAAATCAACATAACCTAATAAGTTGGAAAGCATCCAACATTGGGTATTTCCATAGAAGCATATAAAAAAGCATCACCAACTTTGATTATTCATCACACCACAGCACCTACCAACTAGACCCTTTCATTTCTTCATAAACTTAATTTTTTTTTATCTTCTATCACCAACTTTATTAATCACTATCCATGGTTAGAGCATACTTCATCGTTGGAATTTTCAGTTAGATTTTTTTTAAAAATTTTAATTATATTGTCTTGTGAAACATACAACTCCATTTTGTCTATCCAGTGTTTAATATATATGTATATCCATTTGTTATAGGGAACATATTTTCTAAATTAACTTTTGCTACTCCACTGTAAGTGTTTAACTTTAAAGAAAGTGATATTTTTCTTCTATTGAAATTTGAAAGATGAGAATAGCTTAACTATGACAGCAGAAGATTTAATATTGCATCTATTCTGAGTTTTATCTTTTGTCGTGAACTTTGAAATGTCTCTTGAGGTTTGATTTCCTTGTTCAAAAAGGGAGAGAGAGAGAGAGAGAAGAAAAAAAAACTTAGTGTCAAAGTTAACAAGGGTAAGTAATTAATTATCCTAGCTATGCCTAGTGCCAGATCGAAATACGTACTTGGGAAAATTATTGAGTTCTCTAAGTATTATGTGACCCATGTTACATGGTCTACATACGTCACTCTCCACAAGATACATATAAAAAATAATTAGACCGTCTACTAATAAGTCCAAGAAGTGGGTAGACATATTCATGATGGGCATAAGTGTCGAGTAATAAGACACTTTTGTAACACCCCCAAATAATTTACATAAATAAAAGTCCAAAAAATCCATTTAAACATAATAATCTCAACTCAAGTGTTCAAATCTTTATATTGATATTCCATTCATGTGAGAAATTTACAAAAGAAGTCCACATGCAATACATATGAATAATAATCTCAACCCAAGCGGTCAAATCTCTATATTGATATTCCATTCATTTGAGAAATTTACAAAAGAAGTCCACATGCAATACATATGACTAATAAACTCAATCCAAGCGGTCAAATCTCTATATTGATATTTCACTCATGTGAGAAATTTACAAAAGAAATTCACATGCAATACATATTCAATCTTCATAAAGTTGAATCTATAGCATGTGAGACAATAAGTACAAGGAAATAAAATAAAAAGATACCCTACGGGTTACAATTTTTAAGGCTTAAGCCTGGTTACACAAAAGATAGTTATCCAACCTATACAAATAAAGCCTTTGGCTTGCCAAAAAAAATCAACAAAAGAAAAGTAGCCTCGTGCTCTCAAAATACTTCCCACGCCTTTAACTAAGTGGGATCACCACATACTTTCCTGCACAAATTCACTAGGGTGAGCACAAAGCCCAGTAGAGAAATCTTAATAAAGTATATATGTTTAAGTAGTCTTACATATACGAATGCAATACCATGTCGTGCTCCAAAACCACAAGTTTTCCGTTCTTTTGAAAACACATGCAATGTTCTTTCGAAAGATTCATTATCTTAGTGCAGTTCAAATAATATCACGGGGTGGTAAATACGACTCAAGTAATCCCTAGGCTGGTGTCTGCAAATAGGAATAACAAGCACTACCAATCCCCCCATTTTACCAGCCGCTAATCGGAAGGCACATGGTACCTCCTCCGCGCGTGTTTTCGATCTTTTACCCTAGACACTCAAGCCAACTTAAATAATACCAACTACATCCCTTAACTGGACTTACCAAATGTATTTACCTCAAAACATGTCAAGATCAATAAATGTTTTCTCAAAACAATATATCGTTTTCCAAAACATGGCCATAATAAACAATATTCAAAGTTCAACATTTCAAATCTCAAACCTTCTACTTAAAATCATAGCAAAATAGGGAAGACATGTTAAAACCATATATATAACTCAAAGAAACTCGATACCTCAAGTTTTAGAGAGAGAAAAGATGAGAAAACCCCCAAAATCAATAGCATCAAAACCCGATCTCCACCACACACAACGTAGTCCTTGATACGCTCTCTAACTTTAATGAAGACACTAGGGTCAAAATCCCAATAGCTTTGGGAAGATCAAGAAATAAATTAGGTGGGTGGATGGCTTTTCTAAAGAGAGATAAGAGAAAAGGGAGAAAACTGAATTGTAGAGAAAGAGAGCGAGAGAAAATGAAGTGTAAAGTGATGGAGGTAAAGTGTATGGCTCAACTTTTAAGTGATTGGATACATTTTTCGGAGCTGAGTACGGACAGACGGCTTGAGCAAACAATCCTACGCTTGGGCAGTGAATTCAAACTCCCAAAATCTCTCTCCTCTGTAAACAGATCGCTCAAGCGGTGAAAGTATACCTCTAGTATTTCAGACTTCAGAACAAAGCACTGGAAGGACAACTATACCACTCGAATGGTCCCAACTTTGAAGTGAGACCAAGGCCACCTTAGAGCATTCCCACCATTCTCAGATTCACACCAACACTCAAAGATGCAAATTGACACCTCAGAACACACTAGGATCTACATGAACAACCACAAGAGAGGAATAGGTGACAACACAAGACTCAAAGAGCTCAACGGTAACAAGGACAATAAAAAAAGACAAATATTTTATATTCATATACTCAAATTATTTTAAAAGGACTCAAGACATCGCAACTTTAGTCCTGCCACTTATTATGAGTGATACATTACCATTACCATTGTCAAAATAATTAGATCTTCTTATTATATTCCTACTAATGATCCCGAATCAATCTCTACTTTTAATCTGAGAGAAATTTTGAAAGGAAATAGTTTCAGTGGTTCATTATAAAACGCAAAGTAACTTAGATGTTTCGGAAAAAATGAACAAGTAATATGTGCTATTGTGTAAGATTTGTTTATTTATTTATTAAAGGCCTCATTAGTATACTTAATATAGAAAAATTAATGGGGAGGGTGTTTTTAATTTTAATTAGGGGGCATTTCGGAAAAAATGAAGAAAAAATCAACAGAAAATTATGACGGGCTACCATATATAACAACACTATTGACCATAAGTTTATGGACATTGTATGGAATTCTGGATCCAGACGATGGTATCCTAATTACCACTGTAAATAGTGTTGGCGTTGTCTCTCAACTCTTATATGTCTGTCTCTCTTTCTCTTCCATGCTCCTGTTTACACCTATTTTTGCCAAGTTTTGTCGACAGGTGGTCTAGTTAATGGAGAACAAGTGGCCATGTCTAGAGTGGATGTCCAGCATCAAAGGATCATGTCTAACAGTTGAAAGTGGATTTTTGCATATGGGTTGACTATAAGTGATGGAGCAGTAACTAGCAAGGATCATGGAGTTAGTGGGAAGCCTTTCAAGAGGAAGCATGAGACAAAGTAGGAACTTTTCTCTGTCGAGGGAAGGTTAAAAGAGCTTGTGGGCATGAAATAGCCTCAAGGAAAGACAGATCAACAGACAGAAGTGAAGGATTAATGAAGTTAGAAGGCCTAGAAGCTAGGAAGCAGTTACAGTAGTTACATAGCAGCAGTTACAGATTGAGGAGATCATGGGGGCGTGTGAAAGAAGAAGTATAAAGGCCAGAGATTTGCAGAAATCAAGGACATCAACAACAACATAACAACTTAGTTTTTAGACCTAGGAGTAGTTGAGATCATAATTTAGGAGTAGTTTTTACTATTGTAGTCTATAATATGATGAACATAAGTAATTTCAGCACGAAATTGCTTTTGTTTGTTTAATCTACCTTGTTACCATTTGTTGATACAGAAAGTTTGTTTACCTTCTTGTTTACTTTGATGTCATCAATTAATCCAAAGAAGTCCTCATTCTTTTGAGGCATTCAAACCAGAGCCACAATTGTTTGATTATTCTGGTTTAAGTTGTGTAGTTTAAAATTACTGCTTAGTTGCTATCAATCCGGCCCTAGCATAATTTTTACTAGCAGCTCCCCTCCATAAAAAAGTACTACCATCCTCTCTCTGCCCATGCTTGTGCACATGATTGAATAGAAGATCAATCGGGAATGTTTTTGTTTTTTGGTAGGTTAAATCAATGAGTTTGTTGGGAATACTAGTAGGAGTGTTGGGGACAGTAATAGCAGTGACTCGTCTAGCATTCCATGGGAGTGCTCGCCGCACTTTTGTTGGAGTTCTATGTGCAACTCTTACCATTGTCATGTATATGCTGCACGTCTTAAAGTCATGGTATAAACCTATATTCCACAAAAAAAAATAATAATAAATAAATAAATTCCATTCTTACAAATTTTCACACAAAATTTCATAATTAAAATGATGTGATAATGATAATTTTTTTTTTGTTAAAAAAAAAAAATCAAACCAATTACAATGGGTCCTTTTGCTTTAAAATGGTAAAATTAATATTTTGTCATGTCACATGTATTAATTAAGTAAAAATAATCATAAAAACATAGAACTAGAAGCGGGTTATGTTCTGTGGTGAAAGTAATGTCATAATTCAAGTTGCACCATAGCATAGGCATATACTAGGGGGGCAAGATGCCCCAGTGGTAAGGGCGCACACGTGACTGTGTGGGTAAGGCGCACGGTCACGGGTTCGATTCCCCATTGGGTGAGTGCTTGCAGCAGTTTGAAAGGGGTACATGGCTTCCCCCGAGCTACTTACCCCGCAGGATTAGTCCTGGCTTCCCGAAAAACTGGAGGGATGGGGATACCTGCGTTATCAAAAAAAAAAAAACATAGGCATATACTTTCTTTTTTTTTGAACTAACACAGGCATATACTTGCACCTCCATGTTTTCTACAATTATTTTCCCTTCTTCCTCCTATTGATTTACAATCTAACTTCAAATTTTTTTTCTTTTGTATAATTTTTTTTCTGTTTGTATCACAATCATCAACTAATTCACAATCTAAAAAAAGTGATACTTTTTTATTTTTTTTGAGTTTTTTGTGCATTTTTCATTCATACAATGAAAAACAAGGTAGTTGTTTGTTTCAATGATCCAAAATTCCCAACAAATATATATATATATATATATATATATCAGGAAGCAACTAATCTCCCTCCATGTTTACTCGTTGGGGTCAAATAACTACACTAAAAACAAGACTCATGAAATGTGTTTATTGTTAGTGGCTTTGATAAACAACCATGAAACATGTGTAACTAGTAGTAAACTTTTATGAATAATGTTCAATAATAGTTGCTCTTTACTCGTCTTATTTGATCTGTTTCAAATTATTATTATTATTATTTTAACAGGAATGAAAAGCATGGAGTACATGCCATTCTTCCCCTCATTTTCCTTGTTTCTCTATGTCAGTGTTTGGTTTACTTTCAGCATGCTAGTCAAAGATAACTATGTTCTAGTAAGTTCCTATGCTGTTTGTGTTTGCTTTCATGTGCAAATATTTTCATATTCACAAACTTGACTAGAGTGAACACAACAAACCAAGTGATTTCAATCAAATCAATGAATTGTCTTTTACTTATTTTAGGTGCCAAATGCAGTTGGAATTGTGTTGGGCTTGGCTCAGTTGATTGTCTATATGATCTACAAGAACAAGTCATCATTGTCAATACTGAAGTCAATGTCGGTGATTGAAGACAAAGGTTCAAATCAAGTTACCTCTCTACTTTTTTACACGTTTTATTAAAAAAAGTTAAAAAGTCAACTTTTGACCTACTTTCCAAAATAGGCTGAAGAGGGCATCAAGATGCAAGATTTTGAGAATGATGATGAAGCTTAAACAAAAAATCATGGACTCATCAAAGGAGGAAATCTTCGGAGCCATCTCTAGACAATACAGCTTAAAAAAAGAGTGATGAAGATACTTTCATTGAGTTCACTATATACAAAGTCTAGTTTGGCCCGTGAAGATGACACTGAAAATGGAGGTCCAAAGGATCGTCCTTAATTTTCACTAGGAATTTTAGAGAAACAAGGGCCTAAAATACTCAATTATCAAAAAAAAAAAAGAAAAAGAAAAAAGATAAAAAGAATAGTGGTGCCTTGAGTAAACTCAAAAAGAATATGCTCTCTAATTATTAATTAATAATGCAGAGCAAAAAACATTAGTAATTCAAGGGTAAAAAAAATCAAATATATGTGACCTTTATTTATTCTTGGGAAGCATGTCATGTTATATGTTCTATAAGTACAATCCATAAGATGGTGGCCCAAACTTCTGTAGTCTTCTCTAATTGATTGGTCTAAGAAGATGTATTCTCTGTCACCAAATCTATAATTATTGCCTCAAGACATGATTCAATTAATGTGTATTGTCAAATTTTAGGAACATAAGCTCTCGTACTTACTCCTAAATTATTGAATTTAACTTTCTTTTTTTTTTTAACTTAAGTTCAAATTGCCCCTAGATCAATGAGATATTTAAGAACTATTTGGAAATTTCTCGATAAGGAACCTCATGAGACACCAAGTGAAATCTTGTGTTCAAAACATGACACAAACTTTACAATGCTCCTGGACGTCATTGCCTGTAATAACAATACAAGGGGCAAAAACAGTCACCAAATGCATCTCAACAGAAGTGCAGGAATATTTACATACCACTCCGTATTTGAACCACATATAAATCTAAGCCGAGAAACCCCATGCCTAGTTAATAATCAACGCGTTCCAACACCTTCCTCACTCAACCATTCTATATGCATTTTTCAAAATGGTAACACCAAACAAATTGTGTTTTTTGAAAAAAGAAAATAGAAAACAGAATATAGATGTATTGTCACAACACCCCATTCAACCACAAAATAGATCAGCATCTTTAAACCAATTTTAAATATGCAAACACAAAAACTCCAGCATGTGTAATACGGAGGCTGTAAAAATGAATATGATGAAATGCTAAGAAAGTAAAAGCATCAATAGTAATACGAACCTGTCATGTCTCATTTTACATGCACAAGTGATCACCATTCTGGAGGGGGAAGCGAAATGTTATCAATTAAACCAACACACTAAAAATGCCACATTTATATTAATCTTAGGCAAAAATATAAATAAAAACACAAAAACATAAAACAAAAACAAAAATAAAAAAAAAACGGATAAACAAACTTGCAGCTTATTCTCAAACTCATGCATCAAATGCTACATAAATTAATCGAACTTGCTGTAATAGTCAAGTTAAAGTAGTGAAAACAGAATTGTAGTAGGAAAATCTATCATCTAGCCTCTGAACCAACTCAAAGTCATGGAAATGGACCATTTTCTAGCACTTTCTAGTGTACACTGCTGCAGATACTGCTAAACCACCAGTCATTAATACATGCAACTGTGTATGTGTGTTTGTGTACTGACACAGAGTCCATATAAGTCCATATAAACCCATAATCACAAGAAGAATAATATTAAAATTCAGTTTGACGATAATCTGCTCTGCTAAAAATACGATGTAATCATACCAAGCTAAAATTAACATTACAAAAGGAGACCAAATGGAAAAGTTCTCACAAATACAAACCATTAGCTAATTCAATCAAGATCTAATGCAAGTCTAAGAGAGAGTGATATGGCTGGATATCTTCACAGCATGACCAAACTAAAAGACAACCCTGCAAAAAAAAAAAAAAAATGCATATTAGAGGTCACACTCACAAAGCATTTTCCATAGACGAGCTAATACTAGCTCCAATAGTTAATACGACCATGATATTGTTATACACATCAAACATAACATCATAAAAAATATACACTCTTCCTTAAGGGTTCGGTTAATTAGCAAGATAGTAGATAAAAAATGCATGAAAGAAAAAAATCAAATTTTTTGGGTTTTTTTTTTATTATTATTTAATTTTTAGCGAGGGAGTACTTGAAAGTCTTGGAATGTAAAAACATTACTTTCAGGCTCTAATCCATAACAAACACCACAACCACACTGATTAGTTCACATTGCAATGTACAGCAATCTATAGACTCCTACTGCTTAGAAAATTGCACTGATTGCTGGATGCTTCTACGTATTGATTCCACAGTGTCAAATTATGCTCAATACAACAATTAGATATCATAAGCATAGCTCTAGATCCAAAACCAGGCCACTGAAAAGTGAAAATATGATGCTTGTTTATTTTAATTGAACGCCAATATTTTCTAATTGACAAACACAAACAATTAATTAGCATTTACACAAGAAAGGAAGGCACTTGAGCTGTACTAAACAGAGTGCATGTAACCCTCAATAAGATCTCATTATACTAAATGTTAGTAATGGGCGCCCATGTGGCATGATCATTTGAATTTGAATTTGGAATCCTATCCAAATAGGTTTTGAAATTGAATTCAAACCTATTTAGGATAACCACTCAAGATACAGATATTATCAGTTTTAACTGATATGGATAGATATAATAATATATTATATATCTGATACGTATGATCTGTTTCTACCCATATACTGACTCTCTCCTAAAAACAAACGATCAAGTCATTTGTACTGTGATTTGTGTGGGTGATATTCAATCTGTGATATCACTTCACTGCTGGGTTGGTTTATGGAAGCACGTGATTTATCCACGATTATGGAAGCACGTGATTTATCCACGAGGTTCTATCATCAAAAAGGTATGATCTAAACATTTTATCCGCTGCACATTTTGTACTTTGATTTACACTAATCTTGGGAAAGAACTTGTGCATAGCTCAAGTGGTTGTAACTCTAGATTTCTAAATGGTGGGTTTGGGGTTCAAGCTTACAGAGAAGCGTCAAAAGGCCAGTTATGCTAACCTGTGAACATCCAACCTAGTGCCAAAAACAAAAACAAAAAAATTAAAAAATAAGACTAATCCACTGGGAAATGATTTGTGTAGGACCAAATTCTTAGTCGCGGCTACACGTAATGCCAAATTCTTCATAACCAATGTCCATGTGGACTTCTAGTTCCCTGTGCCAACAAAAGACTTGACAATATAATTAATGGAAAATTCCCAACATAATCATCGATTGGGTTGAATTCCCAAATCAATCCCAGCAAGCTCAATAGATCATTGAGAGAAAAGGGTAACAACTCCATACAGGTATAGAAATTCAACCCTTAATAGCAGGAAAGAAAGCAAATAGCTGAGCGACATGCCACATCAAAATTAAGCAATCAACATAATAGCAGGGGGGAAAAGAAACAAAGATGTTAATCACATATTTTTTATAATGGGGAAACATTTCCATCTGCCTGTGTCTATATTAGGATTTTGTTTGCTGCAAGTGGCAATCAATAAAAAGCAAACCAAGCTCCATACAAGATTACCAAATCCAAGTGACACAATTAACACACACATACACAGGTGTAAAAGGGAACAGAATGTCGCATCATCTACTCAAAACACTGGTTGTAAGAAAATACAACTACATCGAAACATTTAATCATACATTAATGATGATGAGGTCACATGAACCAGATGGTACAAAAGTAGCAAAATTCACAAGAACTTTTTGCCTTTTGATGGTAAGAATCTGCTTAGAGAGAAAAAAAGGGAGTACATAGGGATGAAGGATGAAAGGTACCTCCTTGAAGAAAAAAGCAAGAATAAAAAAAGAGAGTAAAGCAGTTCCAAAGCACCAAGAATCCCATCATAAAAATTATATCTACATGATCAAAGAGTAGCTGTACCTTTTTCACCCAAACTATATGACAAAACAACCACTGAGCTTCAAAAACATATATAGCAACCGTAACGTTCAAAGTCATCACAAGCCTAACTTACTTTTCACCAAAACCAGCATGATTATTCAAAGGATCTAAATTGGTGAAAAGGTCAGCATAAAAATTAAAATACGTAAGAGTTTTGGTAGTTAATGGTTCCCTATTAAATAGCAAGAAACATTCCATCACTATAGACTGAACTCGCTGTGAACCTTTTCGATTATTAGTAGCGGCTCATGTGGAATCCCCAGCTCCAAGCGGGCAAGCTTGCAACTCGCATTTTGGCTATATAAACTTAGCCAGAGACTCTGTTTTAGCTTAGACTAACGGCACCGATTCCTAGTGTTTAGTAGTATCAGGCAAGAGTTGCTTGAAAAGTATACATGGCCATATAGTTTGGAGGACGAACATAAACCCAACTCATTTTCAAATAGATCACAAATCAGATAGCAACCAGCATCCCTCACAATACTATAAGGTTTAGACAGCATGACAAACAAGGTCAGGAATCATGAGTGTTAACATATGAATATCATATATATGAATATAATACTATATATGTCAGTATGTATAGATAGTATTAATATAATATGTATATATAATATACAACGATAGCTTTAGGTTGCTTTGCTTTAGGATTGCTTTCGGTCGCCACTAACTTTCGGCGTCGCTTTTCTTATTTTATTAATTTACATCATCATGATGTCTTGTATCCGAGCTCCTATATTAAGGAGTCTCTATTGTGTTTCTGATATAGAGTTAACATAACAGAAATATTACTCTCTCAACTCTCTCAATTTCTCATTCAATGAGCATTATTGTTGTATATGCATGAAATAAATGAAAAGATGTGGTCACAAAATCCATAACTGGAAGGGGTTTGACAGGGAAGTCTATTAAAAGATACTCAACCGAAGGTGAGAGGGGGTAGGGAGATATAAAAGAAAATGGTTTCAACAGCCAAATTACACCCAATTTAGCTCCATCTTAATTCTTAATCATGCCGGTCAAAAGTCAATCACAGTATTTACTAAATTTTGGCATTTCAAAAATAAATAGAGGGAAAAATCTAGAAACTGCCATTCTA